AGTCTCAAGTGGTAGTCAAGTGGTATTTTAACAAGGGTAAATGTTACAATATCCAATATACCAATCAAAAATAATTAAAAATTAAAAACCAACCTTTCAAATCTCACTCACTGCAGAAAATTTCTAACTTGAAGCTAATTTAAAAAAAATATATGTATAACATAGAGTTGGTGACTGTTGTTATGGCATTCTCTACATCAGAACTTCCCAACCTCCGGTCCGTGGACCAGTACCAGGCCGTGTTAAGCAACAAGTAGTGAGATGACTTTTTCCAAGAAGTAATAAGTAATGTAATCCCATTACAGTTTGAGAAACGTAAGCAGTAACTTGTAAATCATTACTTATTTATGAGCAATTACCTCAACACTGGAGCTGTTTTTACTAACATTAATGCTAGCAGTATGTACAGTCTGCTGAGCCTGTGCAGCCTCTGTTCTGACTGAAAAAAATGAAGTTATCTTTGAGACTCAACACTCAAAAGAATCTCCTCTTCATGATGTAGATTAGGGGTTAATTGCCTTGTTAACACCAGGCTGTCTTCACACAGTCGTGTCATCACTTAACAACATGGAATAATCCATTAATACCGTGACCAGGAGGTGGAGCTGCACTGAAATGACGGAAAAGAATCGCTACAATCACAAATTTCAGCTATTTTATTTATTTGAGTGTATATATATATATATATATATATATACATATATATAATATATATATATTGTAACAACAGGTTATTTAACATCAACATGTACAGTGTATCTAATTTATATATACATGGGCTCATGTGGGCCCTAGGCAGCTGCCTACCTTTGCCTAGTGCAGAGGTCACCCCCGGATACCTGGCTACAAGAATGCAGCAGTGAGAGTTTGCAGCAGCCTCTGCAGCTGAGCTGACACCAGCCATACAGAGACCTCATTTCTACCTGTGTTCAGTTTCAAACTACACAACTTTTATCTCTACCAGAAATGGCGACACGGTTTGCAAAACGAATCGTTTCCAAATCAATAAATGAAGAACTCAGTGAGAGTTTTGTGGCATGACACTACAATCACAGCCAGACTAAGCCATACGGTTTAGCTTGTTAACTTAAAATGTAATCTAAGCTGTATCTAATACATAAAATATCTCACCTGTACATTTGATTTGAAGGCCGTTTCAACCAAGGCGCCTCAATGCAGCCAGGAACAGAGGAAGTGGAAGCAGTTTTTCCAATGTTGTTTACTACACATACAAATACTATGAAAATATTGTATTTTGCATTCCTTTCCTTGATGGCTATAAAGGCCTTTTTTACTCTGAAAGTTTTTGAAGTATTTTAAACTACAAAAGTCATATCACCCCGTGTCACAGCATCAGTTGCCCTAAACACTCATCGAACCTTGGTGGCATTCATTTGGATATGTAGTCTACTCAGTGGAATTAATATTATTTAATGTTTTGTGTGTTCACTGCTGAAAATTTCAGTCAGTGGGCTCAGTTTAAAAGACAATTTAACATGTTAGTTAAATCAACTCGAACATCATGTAGCGTAATGACTAACACCCAGCTAGTTAGCGAGCTAGGTATCTAAATATAAACGTGTCTAATTTAAAAGTAACTGTCACTGAATGTTTTTGACAGTCAAGATTACATATTGAAAGATGCAGTTTATTGTTTCTTATGAAGTAACAGTTGTTTTGATAAACATTTAACAATTTGCTTTGTAGTCTCTGTCTTACTGGAAGGTTTTTTGAATACCTGCATGTCGCTAGTTCACATTAATTTCAACAAAAGTGCTGTTAACTTTTTATGTTTTTCTATGGTGCTGTTAGTTTAACTTTTAGAATATATCTGTATCTCTTACAAAGCTTATTTGAACAAATTCATTAATGTTTTTGACCATTCAAAGAGCCATTTTCCAGATGGCTCTTAATAAATGTTCTTGCTCTCTATTAAAATGGTGTTTAAGAAAAATAATGTTAAATAGGTTTGAGGACGTTTGAGTTGAGAGTAATCTGTTTTTTGTAAGGGGAGAAATCGTGGTGTTTAAGCAAACCATTAATGATTATAAGGTCTGTAATGAAAATGCCTAGGCTAGACAGAAACGTAAACAATCAAAAACACGGTTGTCAGAAACATGCAGAATTTGAGTGTTTTTGTTCTTTCAGTTAAGGAGACCTTGAATTGAATTGTATATAAATAATTAAATATGTACATACACACACACACACACACACACACACACACACATACATATAAATATACATACACACACACATATATATATATATATATATATATATATATATATATATGCCCTAGTTAGTCTGCTGTGTTTTCTGTATTAGACACTAGATTTAGTTTTGATATTATCAGTGAGATGCAGATACATGATTAAGATTAGCACCACAATGTGTAATCCATCCTACACATACCAACAGCTGGGCCATCTTATTAGTTAAGCTGCCATGCTTTGGCCTGTCCAGAATGATCACCCCTAACTGGCAAGACATCATTTTGACCTAGAAATGTCTCTCTCTCTCTCTCTCTCTCTCTCTCTCTCTCTCTCTCTCTGCCTTTAGACTGAAAGGAGAATAGTGGAGAGATTTCGAGCTTTGTATCATCATGCTTAATCTTTCTTTGTATACAGTCAATACTGCAGTGTTTGGGGGTATTGGTAGCTTGAAAGAAGGTGTGTTAGCAGTAAGTGTGTGTGTCTGTGTGTGCATGTGTGTGAGTGAAAGTGCTGTCGGTCTCTATAGGTGTACACTGCACCCCCCGTCGTGCACGTGAGCGGCCATTTTCTGGACTCTCCTGCTGCAAGTGTAGATGCTTGTTCTCTGGACAGAGAGACAGAGTGGCAAAGAGAGATTGAAGGAGCGAGAGAGAGAGAGAGAGAGAGAGAGAGAGAGAGAGAAAGACAGGGTCAGAGAGGGACAGACAAGAAAGAAGCATAGAGATAGAGCAGAAGAGATACAGAGCAAAAAGGAGAGAGAGTGAGGGAAACAAAGGGAAAGAGAAAAAAGAAGAAAACAGGCGTGAGCGACAGGCGGAAGAGAGAAATCTGAGAAATAGGAGGAAAGAGAAAAGAACAGACAAAAGACTGGGAGAGTGAAAGAAAAAGAGAAGGAGAGGGAGGGAGGAAGAGAAAGAAGAAAAGCGAGGGAAGAGAGGAGAGAGAAAAAAGAAGGTGAGTGACAGGAAGGAGGAGAGAAATGGGAAAAAATAGAAGGAAAAGAAAAAAGATTGGATGAAAGAAGGAGGGAGAGAAGGAGGAAGAGAGGAAGAGGGAGGGAGGAAAAAAAAGGAAGGTGGATGCAGAGAAAGCGAAGGAGAGAGTAAGGAGGGGGAGAGGAAGAAAGTGCAGGACAGAGAGAGAAAGGAGGGGAGACAGATGGAGAGAAGGAGAGAGGGGCAGACAGGAGGAGAGAGATAGAGGGAGATATGGGATATGGGAATCCCAGCACACTTCAGTCAAGCTTCATTATTTCAAGCTCAGGGCTCTGAGTTTAAGGTCTTAACAGAAAGCCAGCACACTGTGCCAAATCAAAGAGCGACACTATCGGCTAAGAACTGTGTTTGGGAGTCACCAACCATGAGAGGAAGAAAACAAGGGAGAATGGAAAGTAGAGGGAGGAAAAAGGGAGAAGCGCATACAGAGACGGAGAGGGAGAGACAACAGAAACAGACAGACTGAAATATTTCTTGAGCATGTCTGAGGAATCCATTTCAAATCTGGGTCCTGGATTGATGCTGTTCTATGCTAGAAAAGCATTGCTTACAAAATTCAGCGTTACCTGCTCTATCTGTGATTATCCTCAAAATCACAAACCCCTGACGAGAAATCCAAATATGGTTAGAGTACGGGATTGACTGTTTCATGGTTTCATAATTAATCACAGAATATTTGCAAAAACTACACCCAGTTATTTGGGTAGTTGTCTTGTACTGATCACTGATGTGATGTTGCATTTGCTTTGCAGGAGTGCAATTTATGGCTGGAGGAAATGGGACAAAGTTATTATACATGTTATTTACATTAGTGTTAGCAACCTAGGTAGTTTATGTTCAGGTGCACACTGGCCATGTGATTGAGCTTGGTGACTTTACCTCACCTGGATGAACCAAGACTTACCTAAATTGGTGGGATGCATCATGCTATTGAAATCATGTCAGTATCACTAGATAATTGATCTGCAACAGACAAATGATAACATTTTACCTACAGTTTAAACCAATATATGATAATGCATTTATTATACTCCGAACAAAAAAGTCTCCCGAGGTGCAGCCGTCTAAGCGTTGGCACTATCATCAGGGAGATCGCAAGTTCAATCCCTGGTGATGCTACAGCCATCCGTGGCCTGGAGTCCAAGAGAGCACATCTAGCTTCGCTCTCTGGGTGGGTAGGATGGCCCCTCCTTCTCCCCCCATCACTTAGCATGATGGTAGTCAGCGCAGGCATCTGTTAGCTGACGTTACAGAACTGGCGGTTGGTGCTTCTCTCCATGCACATTTAGCTGTCAAGTGACGTTGCGTGAGCGGCAGTTCGAAAAAATGCGGTGGCTGGCTTGTATGGATTGGATTGTACTCCAGAAAAGCAGAATGTTAAGGTGATGCTGAATTGTATTTATTTTACTGCACAATGTTACTTTTTCTGTAATACGAATCCATAGATTCAGTCCCAATGTCTACATTTTATGAATGCGTATATATTGGCATTGACTGACATATATGAAAAATATCAGATATCGCCATCAGCCCAAAATAATCCTGTTGGTGAATGCCAATTAAATTGCTTACTCTGATGGTTCCCCAACAAACTGTCTTTAACTGCAACCATCAACAAATATAGGACAACTTCCAACAGAAGACAAACACAGCTCAAATAAACAGCATTTTAGCCTTATGTACGGTGGCGGCGTAATCACATCTTTTCAGTATTTTATGCCTTTTAGATTAATTCCCTGTTGATTTGTTGAAATATTGAAGTCTGCTGTTCTGTTTTTTTTTTTTGTAGAAGTAATGCCAGTTCCTGACCAGCCCTCTGACAGCGTGAACTCCAGCATGTTGAGCCCAGTCCTAAACGCCTCCAACGGGGATGGATCTGAGACAGAGACAACCTCCGCCATCCTGGCCTCCGTCAAGGAGCAGGTAATTCACTCTACCTGGCTAACGAGTGCCCTTTTGTTGTTTTTTTTCGGGTGGAGAATATAGCTGCGACCAATACGTTTTCACTGATAAATGAAAAATTTAATTACTATCTTCAGCCCAATATTGGAATTACAATCTATAATTACAGCTGATGACTTGGCATCCCATTTTCACTCACGAACACACTGATGCACATATAATCAAGCTCTGATGTCAGCGATGTAGAGGTTTGTAGCAGTTTCAGGTGAGAACCACTACTTGAATTAGTAATTTGAAAACATTATTGCAGTAATCTACAAACCCAATTTCAAAAAAGTTGTAACAGTATTCAAAATGCAAATAAAAACAAAATGCAGTGATTTGTCTTTTACATGTATTTAATTGAAAAAAAAAACACAAAGAAGAGATATTTAATATTTTACCATGCAAACTTTATTGATTTTTGTAAATATGTTCTAACTCCAAATATGAATTTTGGAACTTTCCTCAGGTAAGCAGGTGAATAAGTATCAGGTGATGCTATCCTGACTGAATAGAATAGGAGCATTCGCAAAAGGTTCAGTACACTTTTCGAAAAACTGTGTGAGTGAAGTTAAATATTTCCACATATAGAGTCCATAATGTTATTAAAAGAAGGAGACAACCCAGTCCAAATCTCTGTGTGTAAAGGACAATGCCAAAAACCCACACTGGATAGCTGTGACTTTCGATCCCTCAAACGGCACTGCATTAAAAACTTAAATGCTTCTGTAATGAATATAACCGCATGGGCTCAGAAACACCTCGGAAAACCTTTGTCAGTAAACACAGTACGTTGTTGCATCTGTAAATGCAAATTAAGACTCTTATATGCAAAGCGGAAGCCAAATATCAACAACATCCAGCCAACTTCTCTGGGCTAAAGCTCATCTGAGATGGACTGATATGTAACAAAAATAACCGTGAAGTTTTGTCTTTGTAAAAGTATCAGTTGAAACATTAAATATCTTGCTTTTGTATAGTTCTCATTTGAATACAGGCCAGAAAGGATTTGCAAATCACTGCTCTTTTTTTAATATATTTTTCCTACTGTCCCAACTTTTTTGGAGTTGGGTAGCCACAACTACTATTATGAGCTAGAATTAGCCATCAGCAGCTAGTAACTTCAGAGGTGTACCTTTCTTATGCCCTCTACACTTCATTTATGGATTATAGTGTGGACGTGTTATGAATGCAAAAAAGAAAATCATTATTGGTATCGATAACAAACACAACACAGTATTCATTACAGGTTATTTGTTGTTGGCCCAAAACTTCCAACAACTACTATTTTCCTTGCAAGCTTATCCTTGCCTACTGCACTGAACGAACAACTGTGTGTATCCCTCAACCACAGCCTAAGCAGACACTATGCCCTGCCATGACATTTAGCATCCCACCCTTCTAATTTTCTAACACTTTCATTATAAATTCTCCACTCATCTAAGCTATCATTACATGGTGTAAACAGTAATTAAACAGAGCCATACCATTCCTGAAATTCCCATAAAAACACATGCTGTATATAGCATACATATGCATTATCTGATGTCACAGATGCAAATAGCACTTGCAAATTGTCTTGCTGGTCTGTATAGAGTATATAGCACATGCATGCGTTTCACCTCAGAGTGAATTAAACTTGCGGGGAGAGGGTGGATCTGAACCGTGTGGAACATGAGGATTATTTTTGGAAGCATGGAGAGAGAAATGTGGTGTAATATATGACATGTCAGGCTGCAATCTGCCTCATGTACTGTTCCGGCCCCTCAGTGCAGTAGAGCCAGTCTGCTGTGATAGGATTGGCTATCTGCAGGTCAGCTGCAGCCATACAATACCACACTTCTCTGTGATAATGATTGACATCACAGATCAATAAACAGCCATATTTACACACTGTTTATTAGCAGTTGATCGTAAATAGTTGCTGTTTATGGCTGACGGTTGATCAATGACCATGAACTGGGTTGTATTCACTAGCCTGCTTATAGCCAACATTGCCAATGGAGTGAGATCTGGGTTCATGATAACGTATAGGGAGTGAGATATAGTGGTATTGCGCCTTCTTTTTCAATACTGTTTCCAACAAGACCCTGTTGATTCACGCTGGCCATTTCCTCTTGAGGGAATGTCATTTTAAGGGCCGTTCCACTACTGCTCATGTGAGATAACCCCTTAGAGGGACGAATGGGTGAAACATAAATTCAAATTCAGGAGCAGAACATGCTTACGTATCATTGCTATGTGACGCAATTTTCCTTTCCAACCCAAAAATCACTGCCAAAGCTAGAGCAAATAAAATATTTAAAAATAGTTAATATTTAAAAAGTACACATTTTGATTTGCTATGTTCACACTAGGCTTTATGAAGCAAGCTATTCCATCTGTTACACATGACTACCGATGTAACCATGAAATGTTATATGGGTTATATGAACTGTGGGCCTATGCCAATGTCCAATGTTTTTCATGCCCATATCTGCTGATACCAATGTTGATACACAAAAAAATATGAAATGTAAGAAAGGGACTAGATCTGTACCAAAAGTATGTGGACACCATCACTCCTATTCAAGTTTGTTGGACATCACACTCCAAAACCATAGGCATTGATATGGAGTTGCCCCCCACCCCTTTGCAGCTATAACAGCCTCCACTCTTCTGGGAAGGCTTCCTGCAAGATTTTGGTGTGGGCCTGTGGGAATTTGTGCCCATTCAGTCAAAAGAGTATTTGTGAGGTCAGACACTGATGTTGGACGAGAAGGCCTGACTCACAATTGACGTTCCAATTCATTCCAAAGGTGTTCAGGGGGGATGAAGTCAGGGCTCTGTGCAGGCCACTGGAGTTCCTCCACCATGTCTTTATGGACCCCCCCTTTGTGCACAGGGGCACAGTCATGCTGGAACAGGAAAGGGCCTTCCCTAAACTGTCGCTACAAAGTTGGAAACATATAATTGTCTAAAATGTCTTGGTACACTATAACATTAACATTACCCTTCACTCAAACGAAGAGGCTTAGCCCAAACCCTGAATAAACAGCCCTAGATTATTATCCCTCCTCCACCAAACAATACTGTTGGCATTATGCTTTCCAGTAGGTAGCCCTCTCATTGCATCCTATAAACCCAGACTTGTCCTTGAGACTGCCAGACAGTGAAGCATGATTCATCACTCCAAGGAACACGTTTCCACTGCTTCAGAGTCCAGTGGCAGCGTGCTCAACACCACGCAATGTGGCAATGTGAATACTGATCTTAGACTTGCGTGCAGCTGCTCAGCCATGGAAACCCATTTCATGAAGCTACTGCTGCACAGTTCTTGTGCTGATGTTGCTTCCAAAAACAGTTTGGAACTCTGTAGTGAGTGATGCAACAGAGGACAGGCGATTTTTACACGCTATGCGCTTTAGCTCTTGGTTGCCCTGCTGTGTCAGTTTGCCTGGTCTAACGCTTTGTGGCTGAGCTCCCAGATGCTTCTGTTTCACAATAATTGCGCTTACAGTTGACTGAGGCAGATCCAACATGGCAGAAATTTCTCCAACTGTCTTTTGGCAAAGATAGCATCCTATGATGACAGTGCCACGTTTAAAGTCACTGAATGCTTCAGTACAACAACTGTGTTTATAGAGGTAGCATGCCTATGTGCTTGATTTTATTCATCTATTAACAATGAGTTTGGCTGAAACACCTGAACCTTAGAATTAAGAGGGGTGTCCACATACCTTTCGCCATACAGTGTAGCTGGATTTGCATTACAGTGGAATATAACATTTATTTGTATAGAGTAACGAATGCAGTAAAATTAATAAAATAACACTAGCCCAGCACCGCCTAAATAATCTTCTCTTCCAGAGTACAATAAATAAATTATAAAATATCAGTTTGATATTGATATAATGAGAGTAATTTCATTTTAAGCAATTATCTACTGATACTATTACATCCCTACTTATTATGCTAGCATGCTAGTTAGCAAGCTAAGCGCTGTATAGCTAACAACAACAACAAAAAAAGAAGAGCATGGTTCTCATTCTAAACCTGAAGGGTAAGACAAATATTTATTCACAAAGTTTATGTACCTTACAGTCTGACTTTTAAAAAAGCTGTTTGCATTGCAAAGTTGCTTAGCTGGCAGATTAGCTCATCGAGGCTAGCCCATCTGAGGGCAAGTGAGTTCCTCTTGAAATATACACTGTCATTGCCCCTCCACCCCTCGTGCTGCGAGTGGTGACTCGTGTAACGTAGGTGCTTTGCACTTCTGAGTAGTGAGGCGAAGGTGACCAGGGCATGCTAAAAACAGTATTGAAATGCAAGGATGTTGTGTGATAGTGAATGGTACTTCTCATGTAGGCCCTGTGTGTATGTGTCAGGATGGCCGCGAGCCATTTTAGAGCCCATGTAGAAGCATTGGGGAGATGGAAATAGATCATGACAGGCCCTCCACTAGTTTTCTGTGTTTTGCTCGTTCTCTCGCTTTCAGGAAAAAAAAAAAAACGGCACACTCTCAGGGTCGGGAATCTACATGGGGAATGATAAAGTAGGCCACAGCCATAGGCTGCTCTGGGCCAGTCTAATAGCTCTCCTATCAGAGAAGGGAGATAAAAATAATGATAAAAAAACTGTCTATCCATATTCTGATGGCTTACGCTGCAAGCCTCCCGCAGAACGGGGTGCTCTTCCTGAACTCTCTCTCCTTCTCTCTCTTTCTCTCTCTCTCTTGTTCACAGACGACTCTCAGCCACACCCCACTGGGTTATAACAGGACATGGCATGCTCTTTCAGGATTTTTGTGATGTGAAGGAGTTTGACTTTTCTTTCATGCTCATTTGACTCTTTTTTCTTTTTATGCACATTATCTCTTTTTATGTCTGTCCAGTTTAGTCTAGGAATTCATAAGGTCATAGTGTTACAGTACAATCCACCATGAACATCTCTCTCTCTCTCTCTCCCTCCCTCTCTCTCTCTCTCTCTCTCTCTCTCTC